TCCCTTCTCCTATATCACAGAAGTAAGTTTTTTGTTTCGGGTAGGTAAAGTTGTAATCGAAACTATCTTATCTGTTGAAAACAATTTCAACTTACCTGCATTTATTCCCGTTCTCTGTTCTTTGAGACTGATCCCAACAATTATGATGACATCAAGCTTAAAACCACTAAATTCACCGCCATGGTATCATGGTATCATTTATCTGGCGTACTCCAGTCCTTCCTCACCTCTCACGGATGGTCCAGAACTCCAGTTGCTGTGGCGTTGCCAAATTGTCTCTGTGCGTTCCAAATCATCGGCCCTTTGTTTTTGAAAGAATCAAATAGCTGATGGTGGCAACTGAAAGATGGCTTTTGCATTTTCTTCGGTTTTGTGATATTTGAGTCTGCAGGCTCTCTTCGCTCTGTGACATGGCCTCCCTGTACTTTAATATTGTTTTTTTCCGGCCCTACGGTCTTGGTGCGAATTCGATGAACTTTCAGAAGGACAAAGACATCTGTAATACTGAGTATACGGTTATTCCAAATTCATCTCTCAGACAATGACAACCGTTCTTCCTCCCAACATTTCGCTTGTATGTTTTGCGAGTGGTCAGCTTACTGTATTTATGCAGAACATTCGGTGTCATGTTACTACTTTTTTGCTTTTTAATCCTACTTGTTATTCTCAGTGACTACAGTGATTTGTTGCTGCCCGTTTTATTAAACTTGATTCCACTCCTCTCACTTCATAACCACATTCCATGTCTACAGAAGCTTGTGATCAGGATCGCATGAAGTTTGGTGTCCATAAATGTAGTTGTTTTCAGGATTCCAAAGGGAAGAATGCTTTATTTGAAATAAAATATTTGGCCTCCCATGAATTCGCTCCATCTTTTTCCGGATCGCGTGTTTCGATACTTGGCAAAATTTCTGCCCCATTACTCCATTTTTCCTCGGTTATTTGTGCATGTGCTGTCTAGCTCACATCCTTTCAGAATGAAAACTTACTTTTGTATTGGGATTCGCTTAATTCTCACGCATGGACTGTGTGTGCTTTGTTGCTTTGGTGGATTTAACTGTCTTCCCTGCAATCACTTGGGTTTAAAGGCTGATGATGTCGTCCGAAACGTCGCCTTTTTTCGTACCGAACGTTCTAAACGAAATGTTGAACATCCTCGTCTATCTTTTAATGTTTACATGGATCCATCTTTCACGAGTCTACCCAATGGATCTGAAATAAAGGTAGTTCTCTTTCGTTAGTCTATTGTTCAGTCTCTCATTGTGGATCCTGCTCTGAAGTTTTTTGAAGAAGCCCTTTACATTCGTGGTGACAAGTGTGTGAGACTTGCATTGAACATGCGTTAGTCTTAGATATTACAAAAAGGGAAGTGGTAGGCCTTCACAGATTGCAAAGGGAAGTTTATTCTGCGCTTTAGGGTGCAAGAAACTAAAACATTGCGGTCCTGTAACTGTACCGTCTGAGCACTTGAATGTAAGTCATTTCTTTAATTGAAGATTCTTCACAGAGTTGTAGATTACCCAGCGACATAAATTATACCGAACTGGGTTCACCTGTGTACTCGGGCGGTTTTCTGCTCTATCTAGCTGCCAAGCGTACGAGAAAATGCACAAATGCAAATATTTTGGGCTATTCCTCCCACTGCCAGCAGGAAATGATAACAGACAGGTATGATGTCAATACTTCACTGAGCAAATAGACCAACCGCAGGTTTTATTAATTTCTGTTTGAGTCCCAGTGATAATCTTTACGACTTATCGCAGCTTGATTACTTCGTTAGGCATGAAGCGTTGCACATATTGGTAGTCATAATAGTTGTCAATGATGCGGTTAGGGCTTCTCGCCTTCCTTGTACGCATTTTTTCGCGATTACAATGGCATCCCTTTGACACCTCGACAGCCGGAATCGGGTATTCCTGCTCTTGGATGGCTTGATTCAGTCAGGTCAGTACCTATTTTGTAGGTTACAGTAGCTAATCATGAACCTATACTGATCCGCTTTAAATATTTCCCTTATTTTAAGAGGAATTTACAAATGGAGTGAAAGAGTGATTAGAACAAAGGTGAGGAATTGGTCTAGTGCAATTGGCACATTTCAAAGAAAGGTCCACATGGTTGTTACGCCAACGGTCTTGGTATGTTCCTACCCGTTCCCCTTCATCATGCATTTGAACCCGTCACCGTTCCTGCTTCAACTTATATCCATTCCTCTTCCTGCAGCGCTTCGCCCGCGAGTACTTCTCATGTCCTTACCTGGAGGGTGTGGAGTTGGAGAACCAAGGTGACACCGGTGTTTCTCTCTCACATTGGGAAATGCGTATCTTAGGTGTAAGTTTTTCATAACCAACTGAGCAACAAAGTTGATTATTTTATCATACGAAATAACGGCTGCGGAAAAATATTGCCCCGCTACTTTTGAGTAAACAACATTAGTATCGACTTGAAATTTCTTAGTAGTTGTCTCCTCTTATCACCAACCTTTCGTGGTTATTCAGAACGAACTGATGACTGCGACCTATACAAACGTGTTTCGCCTGTCTAACTTAACCCTAGCCTTCCTAGAAGATACTGGGTATGTGTGAATTCATTTGGTTTTTCGTAAATTCAACCAAACGGCTAATGCATGATCGGGTCTTTTAGATGGTACCTACCGAACTATTCCTTGGCTGAGCACCTGACCTGGGGCGCACAACGTGGGTGTGTCTTTTCAACTGAGAGCTGTTATTCCTATATGTTAGACCAATTAGCTAGGTATCCACTTTTTTGCCGTTTCGACACCTAATTAAGCTGTGTAAGTATGTCAATTGTTGAATTTGTAGAAAAGCAGATACCGCACCGTTTTGTTTGACTCCGCAGGACGAACGCTCTGGAAATCTCTTCGTCTGCACCCCAGGTCAACGTAGTTTCGGATATTGTAATCTTGTTCAAGTGACACTGGCACCTAATGTAACTGACAGTCTCCGCATGTATACCTACTTTGGTAATACCTCACGTCTGAAATATCGAGGAAAAGTAATACCATACGATTACTTTGGCAAAGTGGACCTTGCCGACTTCTGTCCCTTTGTTCAGGTTTGTTGCATCCGTTCACTCAAATTATATAAGCTCAAGTTTGTTCATGAGAGCTACAAATCAGCTAGATCAAAAACTGGAGTAAAATTCAAATTCATAAGCGGTAACTTGCCACCAATTCTTTGCTGCGTCTTAATTTCCTCTCATTTGGACTTTAGGAAGTAACTTGGTCAGACCGGGATGGAGCAACTTTACGCTCGAGTTACTGTGGTGACCAACGTAGTTCAAAAGGCGAGTATTTACTTTTGCGGTTGCATAAGCGAAAAGCTCCCCATCTCGATAAAGTATTTCATTTATCTTAATTCAGGCGCTGATAAGCTCTCTATTTCACAACAGAGTTGATTTAAGCTAAATCAAACTTTTTACAAACAATAGCCCTTACTAACTGGAACAATTACAACCTGGAAGTTTATGGGCCAAATTCCATCTGTCTGCCCATTTCTCCTAATTGGATTCTACTTGGTAGAAAGTCAACGGTCTACGAAGCCCCTGTTCGTGGAGCTGGGTGCTACAAAGTAAATTCACTAGCACATGCAAGCAAATTGTGAACATGAGGCTGCCGTTGTTATTGCTTTTCAGTGTAAGATTGAATTTCATTCCGTGTTAGTCGATATGCCATCCACCATCAGTTAAGCTGAAAGTCTGTTTTCACAATTCCCACAATTTTATCAACACATCTGGCTTTAGTATAGATGCAGCCACAAATATGGAGGTTTAGTAGTGGAAGCAGCCGGAGGCCTTCAGTTTCTTTGTCCGTCTGGAGTACAGACTGCCCTCGTGAACATAACTGTCTGCCTCCGTGATCCAGCTCTGACGGTTATAGGGTACTTTCACTGCCCCGAATGCACTACTTTTTGCAGTGTAAGTTTTTTATTTCGTTTTAACTGTAAGCATGACGAGTTATGGTGCGGGTCAGACTTTGCTTCGACACCCTAATTGGCTCAGTTGAGTGCCGGTGCTAAAATTTACCCAGTGTTCTCTATGCTCTACCCCACTTTCTCTTAGAAGACTGTTTGTTTCTCACGCAATTCACCAACCTCATCGACGATACGACCTTTCCTTACGAATAAAACGAGGCTCTCTCGGTCCCCGATCATTTTACAACCTTGTTGGGGAACAACTCCCGCTTTTGAATTCAAGACCATCATTGTTGCTTTAATAATCCTTAACTGTATTTGAAATTTCCTCGAACATGATCTCTCAATTTTGCGGTTTTATGTGCTATATTGCGATTTTGCTTTGAAAGCTACACGAAAGTGACTAACGCACATACGGTGGTTAATTACCAAGTTGTTTCCATTGTTTAACTCCGCGAATCAGAGCCAACATGTGCCACGTATTCACAACTACTTCTATACCGGTTTTCTTACGGAATTATTTGGTCATTCGGGTACCATTCCCACCACTGCACTTTGAAACGTAAAGGAACGTTAACAGTAAATCGTAGTGGTTGATTTACTGGGAATAACAATTTTTCCTAGTAGATTTTCACCTCTAATCGCGTAATCAAAGATCTTCGCACTAGCGACGCTCCAAATTGCAGAGGACCAGAAAAGAACATTACAATCATCAGTTATCCATCATTCTGTCATGCATGGCGTTAATTACTGATCAGACGACCAACAAAGATAAAAGATGTCGAGGCTGTATTTGTAAATGCTTTAAGGACTACTTAATGTGATTAGAGAGAAGAAGACTCGCGTTGGTACCACCGAATCCAAAAGAATTTGTTAAAACAAGTCTTCGCCGTCCACTGTTCTCGGTTCGTTTGACCCAATCACGATCCGAATCAAAGGAGATATTTTCAAAAAGTCTCCGAGCTAATGATCTGGCTGTCGCTTTGTCAATACCGTGTTCAAGTACTTTCACAACTTCTGACGACGAGATGGGACGCTCCAGATTGCGATTGCCAACGCAGAGGCCGTGATATGCAGCCATAGCCGAGTAGACTGCCTCAACGGCACCAGCCGCTCCCAAGCAGTGGCCCAAGTGACCCTTCACGGAGTTCACTTGGATCGGTGCACTACCATTTCGCTTGGCGTACGTCGCTAGTAGTCTGGCTATTGCTGACAACTCGATTGCGTCTCCCACGGGTGTGGATGTTGCATGACAATTTATGTGACCCAGCTGAACAAGAAATTTTTAACTAGGTAACACATTGAAAATAACACTGCGTGAAAGCATATACATGTGTCGCAAAGGCATATCATCATCAATTTGGATGAATATTAGACGGTGAACTTCCTCGATTACACAGTATTTGCCCAACTGCGATAAATGAAGAGTTCAGGTTAGCTTGTGCATTAAATTTAACATTCGACCGGCGTCATAACCACAAACTACCACTTAAAACACTCGACACTCCAACTTCACCGATTCGTTGCTCGGCTCTAGAGCATCGACTGCTCACCTCGTCAAGGGATTCGATTCCAGCATCGTCCAAGGCGGCTTTCATACTTCTAAAGGCTCCATCACCAGATGGCTCAGGTGAGACCAGGGAATAAGCATCACCTATGGATACGAAATCCAAAAAAATAATATTATTTTAGACGGGTTTTGAAGACTGAGAATGGCTGCGCACCGTTGGTTAAACGAAAACACTAGAGCAGAAAGAAAATTACCAGTCGTAAGACGAACTCAAAGCAATAAAACGAAAAAAAATAAAACCCAGATATCTTGTGCACATACTGACCAGAACGGCCGAATCCGAGAATTTCTGCAATGGGTGGGTGGACGAGTGAAGAGGTACGTGAAGGCCACGCCTCAAGCACGAGAGCTGCAGCACCCTCAGCCATGACAAAACCGTCGCGAGCAGCATCGAAAGGTCGCGAGGCACGCTCTGGCTCTGCCTCTAGTGACAAAGCCCGGATACGTGAAAACGCCATCAAAGACCATGGATTTAAGGGTGCTTCTGCAGCACCGGCCAAAACCATATCTGCTTCACCATATTTTACTAAAAAGAGACGTAAAACTTCAAGTTATTAAGAAAAGTAAGTGGCGGAGGGAGGAAAAGCGGTACTCATTCGAAATGCCTCTCCAACGGAGTGAAGACCGGAGGCGCAGGAGGTGTTACATGCCATATTGGGACCGCGCAGGCCCCAGGCACGACTGATGTGAGCCACGGGCATGTTGGCCAAGGTTCGCAGTAGCACGTGTGCACCCATACCGGCGTAACCGCATTTGTCCACGCGGTACTGACTCCTCAAAATTTCAGCTACGCCCTCCAGACCAGTGCTGAAGTAAGCGCCTACAATGAAAATAATCTAAATGTGAGCCATCCTACAGATTCACTGGGAATTTTCGACTTTCATGGAACTTAAAGAGCAAAAAGGTGTGAAACTTCAAAAGTGGATCAAGTCGGTGACCCAATAAAGATATTGGAAGTTCCCACTGTAATATGAAAATGGCGGGAGCAAAACTACGGCTCCTTGTCACTAAATACATAACTTTAGTAGTTTACATTTCCAGCAAACATAAGCGTTCATGAAGCGCCTTTAGACACTAAAACACTACGCTATCGGTTTGGCAACGAAGAACCGAATCGCTTGCAGTGTGATTTATCCTCAATGTTTGGAGGAAGCATAGCAAGAAATACTAAAATATGCACTACTGATATAAAGCTTCAAGAACTTTACAGACAAATAAGGTAGGCGGCCAAAAAATACAACTATAGTTCAGTGAAACCTAATTTAATAACGATAAGGCCCTAAAAATAGTTAGGGTATACACATCAAAACGAAATTACCGGCACGGTAGCTGGCATCACCGAATGCAGAGTAGTTACGCGAAGGCGAATCTGACTGCTGTGGCAGCCATCCGGACTGTTTGAGTGCCTCCTGAGAGGCCAAAATACCTAGCACACTAGCACGAGACATGAATCGGCGATCAATATGTTTTTCGAGACCGGGAAGGAAAGACTGCTCCTCCTTTAGCGAGCGCCATCGAGATTCCATCGCTTCATCATTCACTTTTCCACCGATGCGACATGGCCCACCGACACAGTCAGCTGGAGTAAGGAAGTTTCAATAGAATAACATAAAGCAAATAACTAACAGTTGTAGTACACCACTCCATACCCTCAAGGTACCCAATTCCACAATCATTATTCAGAAGTCGCAACCAGTTCTCAGACGTTGTTACACCGAGACAGGATACCAATCCAACGCCGCGAATTACTACTCTTCGAGACTTTTCAAGCATATCAAATCTATATCGGTATTATCTTTGACAAATACACTGATTAAGACAGTGAAAAACACTGAATAGTCAAGAACTCAAAACCAAAACAGTAACAGCCCAAATTCATCCTTAAAAAAGAGCGCAATGAAAATATAAGGTTTAATTTTATTGCCAGTAAGTGCAATAATGAATGCATATACAAAACGTTGGTGATAATCCTCATTTATAAAGACCGAGTGAAATGCAAATTAGTATGGTGAAAGGGTTAATGGAATTGATTTTCTAATAAAAACATACACGAAAAAGGAACACTTTCTAATGACCAAAAAATATGTGACAAGAGCTATAGTAGATTCCCTTTCAAAACTAATCCTCTTTGTCATCAAGACATTTCAGCTGGTCCTCCTTGCAGGCAAGGAAAATAACACCAATAAGGACTCCGTGGACCATGAGTACGGAGACAGCAGCTGAAGCAATGTAGACCGAACTATCGGAAAAGCCAAAGACTTCTGAAAAAAAGACCAAATTTCCCACCTTACCTTTAAAAATACGACGAGAGAAAAAATAAGAAAGTATAGGCAAGACAAGCATGAGAAAAGTAACTAAATACAGTTTCCTTGGGGTGTTGTATTTTTGACCTAGCATCACCTAAAAAGAAAGTTAAAAAGATTTAAAGTTCACACAGTGACGCAGCAGCGGCAATGCACACGTGCCACAGTGTACTCAGACAGCCTGGCAATAATGTGGTCATTAGGAAAAAGCAAATCGTAGAAGGGATTAAAGAATACTTAAAAGAGAAATTTAAAAAAACCTAGTAGGCGAACCAACCAAAACGTACCATGCGACTTCAAAAGCAGGACAAATAGTAAAAGCAAGTTATAACAAATATTGTAAA